TAGATTTGTGTTATGTTTGGTAATTTCTTGTTTAGCAAGTTTTGGCCTCTAAGAAATTGTAATCCTTGTTCAACCAGGAATTGGGTTTGAAACTCTATAAATACATAGGCTTTGGGTGGAGACTTACGAGAATGAGAGAGATGTAATCTCATGAGAGTGTTGATGGATAAAGGTAGTTTATGGGTTAATAGAGTAGGAAAAACACCGGTGACACTGTTAGCGAGGAGATAGGCTCGTGGAGTGGTACATGGTAAAATGACATGTATATCTCTACGAATCATAGTGGAATCTCTTCTTACCCATGGACGCAGGCTGGTTTTGGCTGAACCATGTATATCTTGTGTTTGTGTGTGATTGCTTTGTTGGCTTTCTTTGAATCTTTCTCATTCGTGCGCTTCCGCTGCCCCAACATAAGACATAAATTTCATACAAGCATGTTACCCTATCCATAACAGAAAGTTTTACTTGTAAAAACTGCAATAAATCTAATTTATGCACCAACAGCACAAAACTGATGATCCCACTTGTAATCAAATCAGTGTCTCGTTGACATGGTATGGCATGGTTTTAAGGGAACCAAACAACCAACTTCCCAGACTTGTACCACTCTTAGAATAAGGGACTCAAAAAAAGGTTAAATACAATATTCCCCAAAATTCTGCACTATGCCTTAAGTAGCTAAATCACAAATCGTCAATTCCCCCTTAAAGCTTTTTGAACACATTTAATAGCATGGGATCATTTCACACTATTGAGAAATTTAAAATATATTAATCAATCAAATAGTTGCAGCCGAAGAGAAAGAGGTGTTGGGGGGGGGGAGGGAGGGGAGAAAAAGAAGAAGAAGGTAAGAAAAAAGAAATTCTGTTGGCAAGAGGTGCAAGACTAAAGGAAAATTATCAATATAGAAATCTATATTAACTATTTAAGCAAACAAATCTATTGAAGCATGTTGTTCTGGACGTTGCTCCTGAAAATCTTCTTCGCACTTATATATAATACATCCCAAAATTACTTATCAAAAAAAATAAAAAATACACAATATGTCCCAAAATATTCTCAAAGTTTACCACTAAAGGCAGCATAGAATTCCCAATTCATCTAAAATGGAACATGGAAAAAGATACTAACCATCAGCCTCAATTCAGGGTTGCATAAGTCAAATCCATCAAAATACTACCACTTCTATGGAACCAAATGGTTAACTCTAAGGATTTTATCTAATGCGTTTGTCCAATATATGAAGACCAGCTTAAGAGAAAGAAAAGCCTTGAAATAGCTTTAGGATAGATAGAGCCAATCATTTTCCTAGATCAAAGACTTATATTCCAACCAACATTACAAAATTCACACAGTAACGCCATCTGGTAAACAAATTCATGAGGTTCAATTTTATAGCACTAAACGTTCATCGCAGGTTTGCTCTGATAAATTTACATTTTTTTTTTTTTTTTAATAAACAAAATGTATTAGAAAGCGTCCAAAAGGGAACGCATCCCAAAAGATATACAAGAAACCAAACAAAAAGCCTTATGGACCCAAAAAGCCCAAAAAGTCCACAGTCTCATCTAAAGATGTACAATTTCTCCCCATCACCCAACTAAAAAGAGAACTAATAATAGCAAATTTCAGCGGTCCAATGGAGGTTTCCTCCCCATCAAAAGATCTTTTGTTTCGCTCTTTCTAGATGCTCCTCCAAACACAAAGGGGGGTCACCCTCCAACAGACACGAACATGGGCCCCCATCCTTTGGCCCCTCCAAATGTCAAAGATTCTAAATGTAGTCTGTAGAACCTCGATACGAGATAATAATACAAATAGTTCGTAACATTTCCAGCCTCACAATTATCATCTCAAATTTCACTCCATCTCCAAACTCTAGCTAAGGGCAGAGAAAAAAGGATAAGAAACTTTTTTTAAGCAAAGATTAATCTGCAAATACACTACCAAACTTCATCGTCCTTGCCTTAATCCCATATGAATGGGGTCGGCCACATGAATTCTTTTTCTCCAACTTTGATATTACATGCCAATTCACAGGAAAATTAGATAAGCAATTTGAAAACCCACAATAAAGGAATCTGAAAAATAGTGTAACAACTTTATATCTTGTTTAGCAAGTATCAATCATTTGGTTGAATGCATAAATCTTGGTGAAATTTAAAAATAAAAAAATAAAAAAAATAAAAAAAAAAAAACCACCTAAAGAGCATTATTAATTCCCTGAGATTCTAGGAAAGGCCAAAGTAGAATTAGATTTCAGCCACTTAAACAAGATACACGCTCTAATATTAAAGCTTAATGGGGGGAAACAATATAGCAATAATGAAGTTCGTATTGCTTCATGTGATTTAAAAGTGATTCATAGAAGAAGTGGCATAAATATGAGTAGATTGGCCTAAGAAATTCTGAGTCTGATACTAGATAAAGCTAGAATGACCCAACACAGCTAAAATCAATGAAGCTGACACAATTTTTCTACATGTTCTAGAATAAGTCTATATTCCACTAAATAAATCTAGTTGAAAGGCAATTAGAATGACCCCACACAGGTAGGACCGATGAAGCTTATACAATTTTGTCTACATGTTCTGAAATAAGTCAATATTCTCCTAAATAAATCTAGCTGATAGGCAATCATTATGCATTGACCATTGTTGCACACCATCTAAACCAGACAGAGGATAGAAACTTTGCAATATTCTTTAATTAACACATACCAGGAATGCATCAACAGCCCCTAACTCTACCCAAAGCATAAACACCATCTGCGACTTCTCCACTGTCTTTGGCCTGCCAGTGAGGCACTTTGCCACAATTGCATCACATACTTCCTTCGCGTACCTGTAAGCATAGGCCCTCAAATTCCAACTTCAAAATAAAATACGAGTACAAAAAGCGGATTCCAAGGCATGCAACAAAGGAAAAAATAATAATAATCACATTATCAGAATATTTAGTACCTTCCTGCCTCAGCATCAGCAGCTCTCAAGTACGCAATTAGCGCATCGAGAGCCTTCTCTTGCACTGGAGCATTCGAATCCGCAACAGTCTTTTTGAAAAACGGCCCTGGTCAATAATCAAAACAAATTCAACAAAATAGAGAGATCAATATCCACAATCCCTAACCTAGAATCAACAGAGATCACAAAAACTACCAAATCAGATCCGTGCCATAGAAATAAAACCCTAACTAACCGAATTCGCGAAGGCGAGAATCTTTCGGATCCGTGATTGAATCGCAGACGGCAGCGAGGTCGATGTTCGCATCAATCCTCACCTTCCAGTTCTTGTGCGTCAATCGATCCTTCCATGGCAGTTTCTTCGCCTCCTTCAACAACTTCTCATCTTCCGACATTGCCACCTATATATATATATATATATATATATATATATATATATCAAACCTATATCTATAAATATCTATATATGTATCGATCTCTATAACATCCTCTTGAAGGTGATAGAGATAAAATGTAGAGAGAAAGAAAGAGAGCGTCCTCTTTTACAGGTTTTATTCGGTTTTTTTCTGCCGAGTGCCGGCGGGAACGAGGGTATGTAGAGAGGAGAGCCCAAATGCCGAAACGAGGGTAGAGAGACAGGTGCGAATTAGTCGCGGGTGATTAACGGCTATTTTGGGACTACTCATCTACTCGCCTATTACCAGTTTTGCGGTGTGTTAGACAGAAACGTGGCTTGCATAGGGGTATTAGTGTCAAATTGCTCTGATATTGAAAATTATTGTGGTTGTTTTAGTTACTAAAACGCCCCTACTTGCACGTTATTGATGTGATATGGTTTCAATATTGGACTCAATGCGGCTCCGTTGATTTCCCCTCCCATATTCCTCATTGCCCAAATTTCAAATGTTATATACTGCGGTTGCATGTACCAAATAATCTGTACACTTGTCCTTGTCACCGTTAGAACGTTGGACTGAACCAAATTACCAAGGGCCAATACAAATTTGACTTATCACTTGCTCACGGTAAAAACTTTGTTGGTGTAACTGGTACATTCGTACCATTCATATAATGCACAGGCACGACATTCACAATAATAAACGATGAAATGCTTTCATTATACGATCGATCTACCACAAGCAACCAAATTTTTTTTCTTTTTTTGCCAACTCACCAAGTATAATAACTTCATGATATGATGGTTATATTTTGTTTTGGTAATTACTTTTTTTTAAATAAAACTAAAATCATGTATAATAATTATCATTTATGGTGTGAAGAAATCTTCTTATTTTTATTTATACACAATTGTGGAGGGAAAAAATCCCCCCTCCAGTAAGAATCATCCACGTCATCACACTACAAAATTATCTTAGATACAGCAAGGGCCCAATCGATGTCAAGCCCAAATTATGAGAACCCAGTCTGGAACAGGCCCAGACAAAGTCTTGCTTCCATGTACACCGCTGACCCAAGCCATCCGGCCCACTTACTAAGCCCAGACGTCAACAGCCTGGAACGCCAAGGATGAACTCTAAGCCCATTTACCGAATTAGTTGGATCAACCCACATTCAGCCCAATCCTAATTAAAGGTAGACCAGTCCTGCTAGGTAAAGGATTCAGCAAAGAAAACAAGTTATGTGTAAGGAAAGTTTTGCATGAAAGAATTGTACAAAGGAAAGGATTATAATTGTAAAAAATGTCATATATGGAATGGATTGGAGGACAAGCCAGACAAGTCCTACCATAATTCCACCACCTTGTTTCTTATAAATAGAGGCCTAAACCTCCAATAAAAGCATCGAGCATTAAACACTTGTTTTTGAGTATTATACTTGCTTGTTCTGAGTGAGTTGTATTTTTCTTTTTATTTATTTTAATAGAGATAAATTTTACACCTACACTTTGGCGCCGTCTGTGAGAATCGTATAGAAATATACTCCCACTTTTGTTTCAAATTGATTTTGTTTCCACGATCTGGAATATCGAACGTAGAGTCAACGGCGGCTGATCAGCAGATAGAATTGATGCAAAAGATGCGAGAAGAGTTCCTACACCAATTCGAAGCACTCCGTCAGGCAAATGAAACCAGCGTTGCCCAGATTGCATTACTTCAACAGCAAAACGACACCCTTCAAACGACTATGGCTCAGTTGACACCTCAACCACCACCAGTTGATGTGATTGCGCCTTCTCCCAACCAAAACGAGCCTCAGGTCAATGGAGTTCGGCTTAATGAAGTTCGGCCCAGCGAAGTTCAGCAAGAGCAGAGGACAAGGTCCGAGGCGGTAGCTTCAAACAATCTTCCTTGTCACACACAGGACGAACAGGCCAAGTCCAGCCATAAGCTTACGGTATGGTCTAATGGTGTTCCAGATGGTGCAGAAGTAAAGGAGGCCTTTGACGAGAAGAGACTCCTGAGAATTCAAACATCTGCCGAGATGGCCAGGGAACACAAGAATTCTCTCATTAAAACCCCATTCACTGACGATGTGTACCTTGTTGACAGACCTAAGAAATTCACTATGCCTTCCTTTACCCAGTTTGATGGTACGGGAGATCCTTCTCGGCACCTAGATCACTACGCACAAAAGATGGCTCTAGACGATCACAATGACCCATGGATGTGCAAAGTTTTTCCTACCAGTCTAACAGGGGCTGTGCTGGAGTGGTTCAGGAATAGGCCACCCAAATTTATTCCAGACTATGAAACTCTGTGCACTATGTTCCTGGCGCAGTACTGCGGTAATAAAAGACAAAAGAAGAGTATTGCTAGCCTTTTCACTATAAGGCAAAAGAAAAGTGACACATTACAGGATTTTTTGTCCAGATTTAACATGGAGGCTTCGAAAATAGCAGATTGCCATCCTGCCACAGCAATAGAAACGTTCAAACTTGCAATGATTCAGGGAACCAAGTTCTATACATCCCTAGTTAAGTATTCCCCTCTGGATATGCAAACTCTCAATGCTAGGGCACAGATCTACATCCGGCTTGAGGAGAATGTGGCCCACCGAGCGCAACAAGCCACCCTCGTCACAGTGGAGAACAAGCCTCAGGAAAGGGTTTCAAACTCAAAAAGCCAAAAAAGCCACAACGCTTTATCGCCAGCCATTTAAATACACGAGAAAAGGCAAAGGACAGAGGAAAGGTTCACACCTCTTCGTACAACCTTGGCTCGGCTATTCCAGGAGAACAAAATGAAGTTTACAGCCCTTCAGCTAATAAGGCAACCTTTGGAACAGAAAGACAAGAACAAGCACTGATTACGGGCATACAACCAATGATTGTAGATCCCTTAGGCGGCAGGTGGAAAACATGATAATGAGAGGTGAATTGGCAAACTACCTCACAACAAAGGAGTACGTGAAGCCCCGGGAGGTCAATCCTCGGAAAGTCAAAGGTAATCAAGTAAAGGTCATCCATGCAATACATAGAAGATCGGAGGATGATCAAGAGTTAGAGGAGATGTATAGATCCCGATTGAGGGCAACCCATAAGCTAAGGAGGTTATCATCAGTGAACACTATCGCTTCGGGAAGTGTTAACATTGGGTTCTGCGATGGAGATCTATCCAGAGTTCAACTCCCCTACAAGGATCCGTTGGTCATCAATCTCTTAGTGGCAAATTGAATGATTAAGAGGGTTTTGATAGACCCAGTTAGCAGTGCCAACATCATCACAAAGGCGGTCTTTGAGCAGCTGGAGATTTCGTCATCATTAATTCGGCCTACTTCCAGCCCCTTGATGGGGTTTGATGGCACAAAGGTGGACCCCCTTAGGGTAATTGACCTATCCGTGACCGCGGCAAAGAGGACACTGAAAGAAAACTTTGTTTTAACGAAGATCCATCATTCCTATAATCTTATTATGGGAAGAGGCTGGATCCACCGAATGAACGGGGTTCCATTTACCCTTCATCAAGTGATGCGATGCTTGTCTCTAGACGGTAAAGAGGTTATTGATCTTAGGGGAGATCAAGTCGCTGCTAAAGAATGATACATGTTGACACAGAATAAAGCAAAGAAGGTAGCAAAACAGTCCCAACCAATCGCACCTCCTGGGAGCATGTCCAAATAGCAATTACAGAACCCTTTGCCCAGGTATTTGAAAGCAGAAGATGAGGCCAAAGTTGAAAAGCCTACCGAGGAGTCTCTGGAGGCTGTCCAAGTAATCCTCGGTGATCCTCAGAAAGTCACCTACATAGGTTCTTCCCCCACAGCCGAAGAAAAGAAAGTATTAATTGATGTCATTCAACGGAACGTAAATGCATTTGCTTGGGAGCATTCAGACATGGTAGGAATCAATCCTTTAGTCTCATGCCATAGCCTGAAGGTGGATCCGGCGTTCAAACCAGTCAAGCAGAGGCACAGAGGTTCGCTCCTGAGCGAAACCGAATTATAACTGAAGAGGTAAGCAAATTGCTTCAGGCGGGCTTCATTCGAGAGGTGTACTACCCACAATGGCTCTCTAACGTGGTGGTAGTTCAGAAGAATAATGGAAAATGGAAAATGGAGGGTGTGCATAGATTTTACCAATCTCAACAAAGCCTGTCCCAAAGACAGCTTTCCATTACCCAAAATAGATCAGATGGTTGATGCTACTACTGGTTTTGAAAGGCTCACATTTCTTGATGCATATTCCGGCTATAACCAAATCCCTATGAATCCAGAGGATGAAGAGAAAACTGCCTTCATAACAAAAAAAAAAGGCACCTACTGTTACAGAGTCATGTCCTTCGGACTCAATAATGTTAGGGCAACTTACCAGCACCTTGTTAACGAGATCTTCGACGAGATGTTAGGAAAGACGATCGAGGCATATATCGACGTCATGGTGGTCAAAAGTGTGAAGAAGGAGGAACATCCTAAGCACCTCCAAGAGGTCTTTGACACTCTGAGAAGGTATGATATGAAGTTGAACCCTTCGAAGTGCTCTTTTGCGGTTTCTTCAGGACAATTCCTCGGCTATATTGTAAACAAGAGGGGAATTAAGGTGAGTCCGGCTCAAGCTCAAGCCCTTATACAAAATCAGGAACCAAAGACCCTCAGGGAAATACAGGTTTTGACCGGTCGAATCGCAGCTCTCAGTCGATTTATCTCTTGATTGTCAGATAAGTGCAAACCATTCTTTGATGCAATAAGGTCCAAGAGCAAAGACATATGGGGACCTCAGTAACAAGCTGCTTTCAATCAACTGAAGTGCTACATGCCTGAACCTCCGATTCTGTCAACTCCGAAGCCTGGTGAAATTCTTATCATGTACTTAGCCATCTCCAGCATAGCCACGAGCGCAGTATTGATCAAAGAAGAAGGTAAGAATCAGTATCCAATCTTCTACACCAGTAAAACAATTACAGATGTAGAAACGCAATACAACAAAGTAGAGAAGATCATACCAGCATTAGTGTATGCAAAGAGAAAGCTTCGGCACTACTTTGAGTCACACAACATCAAAGTTCTTACCAACTACCCCATGCGAGTCATTCTTTCCAAGCCAGACTTATCTGAAAGAATAACTAAATAGGCAATCGAACTCAGTTCCTTTAATATATTCTATGAACCGAAGGTGTCACACAAAGGACAAACGCTAGCTAATTTCCTCTTAGAGTATGAGGACAAGCCCCAAGAGCCAGGTCCTTCCGAGACACAATTGGAGCTTCAGGTGGATGGTTCCTCAAACTAGATTAGTGCCGGGGTCGGAATCGTTATAATAACCCCCGAAGGCACCAAGTTGCATCAATTAATCCGTCTGCCTTTTCCTGCCACTAACAATGAGGCCGAATACGAGGCCTTGCTCGTAGGACTTCGGTTAGCAAGCCAACTTCAGGTAAGGGGTCTAAAAGTTTTTAGTGATTTTCAGCTTGTTATGAATCAGGTAACAGGTTAGTATCAGCCTAAGAAAAATAGAACGAAAGCCTATGGGGAGGCTGTGGAGAGTGCCTCGTGAGGGTTCGATCAAATCGAATTCCATCAGGTACCTCGTGAGGAGAATTCTGAAGCAGATCAGTTGGCTGCAGCAGCATCTTCTTCAGATGAATATTTGGTTCGGATCGTACCAATTAGCATCCTGGACGAACCAAGTATAAGCCATTGGCAGGAGTAATGGTGATCCTAGATGTTCCACGTGAACCATACTGGATGGATCCATTGGAAGCTTACCTTATGGAGGGGACCCTTCCGAACCAGAAGGCCGAGGCACAGAAACTAAGGCTTACCGCAGCCAAATATGCCATCATCAATAATTAATTATATCAGAAGTCATTCTCAGGTACTTACCTGAAATGTTTAAGTCCCACTTAGGCCCTCACGATTCTAAAACAGATTCATGATAGGGATTGTGGCAACCACTCTGGAGGCAGATCCTTGGCACATAAGGTCCTAACTCAAGGTTATTTCTGGCCTTACTTGGCTCGAAATGTTGAAAAATATGCCAGAAGATGCCACAAGTGCCTGCGATATGGTCCAATGAAACATCAACCTGCCAAAGATTTGCACGCAATGGCGAATCCATGGCCATTCGCTCAATAGGGGATTGATATGGTCGGTCCTTTACCCAAAACTGTGGAGAAAAAGGAATACGTGTTGCTAGCCACGAATTACTTCACTAAATGGGTTGAAGTCGAAGCTTACTCAAGTGTGACCCATAAACAAGTAAAGAGTTTTCTATTGAACAACATAATATGCCGATTTGGGGTGCCGAAGGTGATAATGATGGATAATGGCCCGAACTTGGATAACCGAAGCACGAGAAAGTTCTTCGCTGACCATTGGATTAGGCAGAAGCTGGCTGCAGTTAGCCATCCTCAAGGAAATGGGCAGGCTGAAATAACAAACCGAACCATTTTTAACTGCTTGAGGAAAAAGTTGGAAAAATTCAAATCAAAATGGTACGAGAATCTACCTCAGGTGCTTGGGCATATCGAACCACCCCACGAAGGCCAACGGGAGAAAGCCCTTTTTTCCCATGGCCTATGGGTCTGAGGCTGTCATCCCACGGAATCAGTAGTTCCAACTCTTCGGACCCACTTGGTGCTCGAAGATAACAATGATCAACAGCTTGAACACTGTCTCGATCTCTTGGAAGAAAAGAGGGACGCTGCAACAATTAGGCTCGCTTCGTACCAGTAACAGTTGCATAATAGTTATAATAAGCGAGTTAGGTTCAGACGTTTTGTGGAAGGAGATTGGGTGCTGAAGCAGGAAACAGCCCATGTAAAAAAGTTACAACCTAATTGGATTGGACCTTACAGAGTCACAGAAGTAATAGGGAAAGGAGCTTACCGATTGGCGAAAGCTGATGGGCGTCCAATTGCACGTCCATGGAATGTAATACACCTGAAAAGGTACTAGCATCAGATAATATGGTTTATTTACTTTTCTTTTACAGACAACATACGTTTGTTTTCTATCCAAATATGGCTGTTTCTAGGCTTATATAAAAAAAGTTTATCGAGTTATACACATCTTTACTCCTTTTACTTTAGTAATATGAGGTATTGCTTGTTGCTATTTTCTTTGTCGTTATAGGGGGCAATACATGTACCCTACTGTTGATATTACGACAAAAACATGTAACCTACTATTGATATTACGACCAAAGAAATAAATTATCAAGAAAGATATTACCACAACCAAAACAAAGCTATATAATTTTTTGGCTTTTTGGTGATACTTACAAGTCCTTTTTTCATGAAAACGTACTTTAGAGTGCATGTGCATTACAACAGATGCCCATTGAACATTCAGGCTCTACTTAAATCATAGACCCAAAGGCGCTTTACAGTTTTTCTCTTGTTTTTGGACACAAACTGCAAATATGTGTAGCTCAAAACACTTATCTACGGTGGTCCCACATCGGAAAAAAACTACTTCTATACGTTCCTTTATAAAGGGAAATATTAAAGTATTTGGGTAAATTGCAAAGAGGGCCCGTTGGTAATAGTAACGGCCCAGCCCAAATGGTGTTCAAAGCTCTAGTACCAACGGGCATTCTTTGCAATAATTTTTGTTCTTTCCAAGCAAACCAAGTTTTTGGCCCATATTAAATTCCTTGTCCCACATCGAATAGGAAAACAAAAGGTGTATAATAAATATAGAGTTAGCACACCATATTCGGT